TCTTCGTTCGGCTGAAGCCAGGCTTTGCACAAGCTAACTCGCCAAGTCTTTCAATGACTCACACCTTGAGGCCAAGGAATGGCGCATCCTCATTCCGCGTGGCGCTAGCAAAACAATGACCGCCTTCGCATGAACCAAATGGAGACCGTGGCGACTGGGACACTTTCAAGCACTCTTGAGAATTCTTGAGACACATCCCAAGGAGAGGCATTTGGGGCTTTAGGATCTTTGGGAGTTGCTTTTGCCTGACAGGTCTCTGTTGACCGCTACCCGGCCAAGAGAGAACACACATAGGCCGCAAACACATGCCGCTGCCCTGACTTCACAGCATTCACAGTGAATTGTCATATCTGTCATCCACCCTTTGCTGCAAAAAAAGGTAGGACCTGGGCCATCCATACACTTGAATTCTTGGCCTCAAGCTTCAAGCTGGCTCAGCACCTGGGCCATCCATACACTTGAATTCTTGGCCTCAAGCTTCAAGCTGGCTCAGCTGCACATGGACACTTGAAAACAGCCCACCGACCAGATGGCGCTCTTGAGCCGAACCGGCCAAGTCTTCGCTTCACTTCACTGTCCTCGAAAGCATTTTGGTTGCGAGGTGCGGTGTCTCAACCCGCAACGTCAAGGCAAAAGGGATGGTGGCCAGTGGCCAGGCACAAAGAGTGAATGACCCAGAGCATGCCAGCCATGCAAGTTGCCTGCATGGGACCAACCAAGGAGACAGGCTGGCTGTCCGGCATCTTGTTCCCACATGAGCGTCTGCCGAAACGTCTTGTTAACAAAGGAAACATGATTCAAGATGCTAAGAAGCCTATTGCATTTGACGGGGGCCCTATCGCTTCTTCAACCCCCAACACTTTCAGCATAGAACATATCCAAAAACTGTGGTGACACAGTTATCACCTTTTCAGGGGCGCCTATCGCTTATGCAGGTCTTAGTTGTCGCCTAAGGCTTTTGCACCTGATGCCACCGCATTCCCATGCGCAAAAAAGGGCAGTCGCCACGCTTTCAAGCACTCTTGAGAATTCTTGA